GATGAACACTGAGTTACTTCTGTATATTTTACAGTCATAGGGGGAGAAGTAAGCTATATTTTCAAAGAATGTTGGGAATGAATTGAACATTATACAGAATCAAAAAGCAGACACAGAGCAACAATAGCAGAAAAAGAAAACGTGTCACATCATTAATGACTTTTTTTTAAACCAAGCTGAAGATGGTACAAATGACCAGAATATTTCTTCTATGTGTTATCTTCTATGGAAAGAATTCTAGAATCACTTTTGATCATCCCTGCTCTTTGTGGTATGTCATTTTTTTGACATTAAGCAAAGCTGGATGTCCCCAGCTCTATGGGCAATTCTACCCAAATGATGACCATCTCTGAAATCTTCCAGTTTTCATAATGTCTGAATATATTAGAGTGACACATGATTGCTTGCATTTTCTGGGCATTCTCACCAATGGTTAAGGGAAGGGTTCTAAGAAACACAAAACCCAGTTCTTTCAAAAATGAGAAAAAAATGATCTTCCTCGACCAAATTTTCACCTTCTATTTTTCTCCAAACTTTTTGGCCCCAAAGGGTCTCTCATTATGTGAACAATATCTGCTAATAGTAACCACACCAGAAATTGTTTGAAAAATATTTTAAATCCTTTTCAGGGCACACAGTTATATCTGGCTGCTCTCAACATTATCCAAACTTGTTTAGGAAAGAGATGCATTCAATAGGACACCACTTTTGAAGAGCAACAGTCTATAAATTGTTGGATCTATTGTTTGCTCTGCTTGATGATGGTGCCCTATGTTGACTTAGGGAAACCTGAACCTCTCTTACTACTTATAAACTGATATATTCTCATAAGCAACATATCAAAAATAATGACGAGCAGCTGGGAACTGATGATTCACATCTGTAATCATAGTTACTCAGGAGGGTAAGATTTGGGGGATCATTGTTCAAGGCCAGCCCAAGCAAAAATTCTGTAAGATTTCATCTCCAAATACAGCCCTAGCCTAGCAAGAAGGCAAGTTAGCTAGTCAGGTTAAGTACAAGGTTCAAACCTCAATGCCATACTGGCAATAAAATAAAATAAAATCACGAACACTTCATGACATCTTGCTATATGTTTTAAGATACCCTTACAATACCCAATTATTATTTCTATTTTACAGTTCAGAAAATAACATTTTCTGAGAAGAGTCATTTGTTCTTGATCTCACAACTTAAAATAGTAGAGTTTTGTTAGTACCCCAGAAATACACTTGACAATATATCCTAGCTCAGAACTGGTGGTTCACACCTGTAACCCTAGCTACTCAGGAGGCTGAGATAGGAAGAATCTGGGTTCGAAGCAGCCTGGGCAGGGAAATCTGTGAGATTCTTATCTCTCCAGTTAACTAGCAAAAAAAAAAAACAGAAGTGGAGGTGTGATCTGAATTGTAGACTGTCAGCTTTGAGAGTAAAAGTGAAATGAGATCAAGGCCCTGTGTTCCAGCTTCAGTACCAGCACACACATGCATGAACACTTGAGCATGTATGCATGCGTGTGTGCACACACAAATCTATCCTAAAGAAATACATGAAAAGCACACAAACATTTACATAAGCACTCCAGTTTAAATATTATTTATGACTATAGACAATGGTAATCATACTAAGCTGAACATAATGACTCACACCTATAATTCTAGCGGCTTGGGCGGCTAAGATTGTAACAATCATGGGTTAAGCATCCTAGGGATATATGCAAGAGCCCTTCTTAACCAAGAGCTAGATGCAGTGGTACAAATCTGGCATTCCAGCAATGCAAGAGGCTGAGATCTAGAGAGTCAAAGTTTCATGCCAGTCTAGTGAACAAGGTCACAAGTTTCCATGACAACAGAAGAAATTGGGCATAGTGGCACATATCTGTCATTCAAACTATGAGAAACACAAATTAGAGGCTCACAGTCCATTTAAGCCTGTCTGGTCAAAAAGTTAGAGCCTATCTAAAAAAATATGGCTCAAGTAGCACAGTGCTTACCTAGCAAGTGGAAAGCCCTGAGTTCAAATTGTAGTTATGCTAAGGAAAAAAGAAAAACTATAATATTCACTGATTTGGGCTGGGAAGGTGGCTCAGTGGTAGAGCGCTTGCCTTGCATGCATGAGGTCCTGGGTTCGATTCCTCAGCACACATAAGCAGAAAAAAAAAGCCAGAAGTGGTGCTATGGCTCAAGTGGTAGAGCGCTAGCCTTGAGCTGAAGAGCTGAGGGACAGCGCCCAGGCCCAGAGTTCTGGCCCCACAACCGCCCCCCCAAATATATATACATATATATATATATATATATATATATATATTCACCAATTTATAATTGGTCAATTCAGCCTAACCAGAGACTAAAAACTGTGTATGGGGAGAACTATGCTTTTTAGCTCATGGATCAATTCCTATGACATGCATCATCATGACGTAAGAATCTAAAATTATTTGTTTACCACATAGACGAATACAAAGTGATACACAATTATTAAAATGTTTAACAGAAAAATTTATGAAGAAAATCACCATGAGAACAGCAGGACCACTGTGATGACATATGTATAAATCTACACACATGTGTATATAGAAAACTACTACCAGTATAAACACATGTAACTACATCCATCCCATGTTTGTCTCTATGCTGATGTTCATTAGGTATTGGATAAATATTCATGATGTACAAATAACATTTGAAAAATAATTGCCCGTTGGGGTAGCTTTCTGTATTTAACAAAAATGTACGATTTATGTTTGTAAGAAACAATTACATCTTATAAACCTAATCACTCTGGGAAAGTGCATTAGGAATTCTGGAATCAATGTAGAAAACCTAGATAACCCACAGTCCAATCAAACACTTGTATGTACTTACTCCTCATGTTTCACTTACTGTATTCAAGCAATGAAAACTACTGGCTGTTACAGAAAAGTGGCAAGTTGGTTCTGCACCATTACTATTAATTAAGCCTAGAACTAGCTCCCTTGTGTTTGCTGGTAGTGGCTTTTCCCATTTCATGAGGTTGCTTGAGTCAATGGTAATGCTAATGCTGCTGCAGGACCTGTTCCAAAGCAGGTCCTCACTACAGAGGGAGAGAATTTGCCAATTATTTTATGTTATCAGAAATCTCAAAACACTGGAGATACTCCCTCTTCATGGGACAGAAATTGCTTTGGAGGTTTTGTGAACTTCTTACAAGTGTTTTCAAATTTATGTGTGTGTTAAAAGGGTATAAATGAGTTAGTTTATGGAGAATTCTAGAATTGTTACAAGATAAGGTTATGACCATAATTCTAGCTACTCTACTCCAGAAGGCTTGAGAGAAAAAGTGAAGTGAGATCAAGGCTCTGGGATTGAGGACTGAAGGATCCTGGACAGAAAAGCCTATGAGACACCATCTTGAATTAACCAGCAAAAAGCCAGACTACAGGCATTGCTCAGGTGGTAGAGCGCCACCTGTGTGCAAATAAACTGAGCAGGAATGCGAAGTCCGGAATTGAAAGCCCATTAACTAGTAGGGGGAAAAAAGAAAAAGAAAGAAAAGGAAAAGATTGAAAATAACAGAGTAAAGCAACAAAATTTTCAAGCAGAATATTATCGTAAACAAAATGCACATGAGGAAAAGGAACCATGATTAACTGTTTCTCTCTTTTTTTTTTAAATTCCTGGGACATGTTTTTAGATTAAGTATTTCTCTCTTTTTTTAATTCCTGGGACATATTTTTAATATGTAAAAATTTTTCTTTTATCACTTTGCTTTAAGTAACAGCACTACGAATTGCAAAGATGGGTTTAAAACCCAGGCCATATGACTTCTACAGAAGTAGTGACTTTAGTGGTAAGAAATGTATTTAATAATCCTCACCAATTAAACATAGATGCAAAGTACTTCAAATGAAAAGAAAAATGACCAATATACTTCCCCTACAGGAAGTGTCTAAAAACCTTGTTTGAGCCAATGCAGATTAAACACTTCTCTATACATTTCACAATTATTGCTTAATTTAAAATGTAACTCTCCTGAGATCAAAGGAAACAAAAGCTTGTATCTCGGATTTTTACAGGGCTTGTTTGGGGACCTCTGAGCACATATTTTTAAAGACATTCAGTGAATGTAATTCACTGGATTCCTTGCAAATATCTTCTGTTACAATCTGAAATGCATGCAACAAACAGAAACAAAACAAAGGGCACCCAAATTCTTATTTGCAAATAGAACTAACATTAATGGAAAAGGAAGTCTCTAATACCATCCATCTGTCTTAGCTGAAAAGAAAAAAAGTTAAATCGTCAGCCAGCATGAGGAACATTTCTTCTTCCAGTTTGATTTTTAAGATGAAAACCAGTGCAGGTTATAGGAGAATTTCATAGGTAAAGCCATTGTGGATTCAAACCCAGATGCCTTCATCCCCTGCTTCCTTTCAAACAAAATGACATGGATCTTTCGGAGACTCTAGTTTGAGCCTTTCTCTCATATGCCAAAGAACTCAACAGGAAAGTTACCCAGCATGCCAGTCATTTTACCTTTACTTATTCACTATTGTCTGTCTTCACACAACATTGCAACACAATAAATACCCTGGAATGTTTTGTCAAAGTATTTTTTTAAATGACTATTAAAAAAACTTTAAACTTAAATGAGTCCTCGGAGCCGGTTGCTAAGGCTTATTACGGCTGTCAAACAAACAGCATGCTCGCAAATGGGGTTACTATATGGCCAGAAAGTAAGTTCTGTAAGAAATATAAATGCCGCCTCACAGCTCTCTGGAAAAGTGATCATTTTCGGGCTGCAGTTGAAGGAAATTGCTTATCCTTGGACTGTAGGGTGTGTTAGACCCAGGAAAGTGGGAAACTCAAGTTCCTCAGCTGGGCATCATTTCAAAAGCATGCAGACTGAAAGTAATTCAGGTTTTCCCTTTCGTCCTTTCTTCCTTCCTAGTAAGCCCAAACTAACAGGTCGGGAGAGTGAGAAGAAGAAGAAGCAGAGGAAGAGGAAAATAGATCGCTTACAGTTCCCAGAGTTACAAGTCAATCTTCAGGCTCCTTTACGCTTTTCTCTAGCTTTCAGTCAGGGTAGTTCAGCCCAGACTTGAAGAAAGTCTTAAACTTTGTGGGCGGGGCTAACCCGTGGGCTGGTCCCCCTGACTGCAGAGGTTTTAAGGTGGAATTAAAGAGAAAGGGGGGAAGAAAACTTTGTCGTTCACTTTTCTCTAGAGATTACTATCCTCATTCTAAGTGTACAGGTTTCATAAACAGGCATTTGAAATCAGATTTAAGCATGCTTCAATCTCATTCTTAAATAAACATGCTTAGAAAAAGTATGCTTCCATTAACTCGTCCTAATTACAGGGAGGGAGAGTTTCTGTGTGTCTGGAACTACTTACCCTTAAGCAGTCCTAACTTCCTCTTTTTCTTTTTTTTCCCCAAGCAAGAAAGAGCAAAATTGATAGTAAGTAACTCTAACCACTTCTTGCTTTCTCTGAAAAGGCCAAGTTGATAACAAACTCAAAATATAAAGTCCATGCATTTTGAATCTGCTCCAATATTTCCTTTCCAAACTCAAAATATCTGAGTTTATCAGCATCTGTTTGTAAGTAGAAGATGGTAGAATATGATGTATTCCAAAGAATGCAAGAGATAAGTTTAGATTTCAGGTCCAATATCAAATCAGATTGAGTTTTAAATGTGCAGTGTAAGCTGAAATACTTTTTCACTCTAATATGAAGAAAGTATCCTATCCAAAATTCTGTAAGAATTTATTCCAGCAGAAATAATTATTCCATTTGAATCAGAACAGTCAATAAAGGTTGGCAGTATAGCCCAGAGGTAAACCTCAACCCTGGCATATATGAAGTGCCGAATTTAATTCATAATATCCTCATACACACACATACACACACAGCCACCCCCCCACACACACACATGCACATACACACGCTCATTCATGCATATATATTCATAGTACTAGTCATGTTATCCAAGAAAAATATGTTTTGTTCTACAATGGTGGAAGACTGGTTTCATATTAATATACCCTTTTTCCACTTGTCCTTCATAAGACATTAGGAGCTCAATGACCTCAATGGAAGATTATTGTTTATTTTCTGATATTGAGGGTAAAAATACTTTCTTTTCTCTTTTTATTTCCTTCTCTCTTTTTTTTTTTGCAGTGTTGGGGTTTAAACTCAGGATTTTGTGCTTGTGAGACCGGTGCGCTACCACTTGATCCAGGCTTCCTGCTCTTTCTTGTTTTAGTTGTTTATTCAGGTAGAATTTCCCTTTTGAATGGGGTAAGTCTTAGACATTATCCTCTTATCTACACCACCTGCACAGTTGATATTACAAATGTGAGCTACCACACCCAACTTAGATGTTGAGAAGAGGAACTCTAATTATTGCCCAAGAAGTTCATGAACCCTGACCCTCTTCCTGTCTAACTTCCAAGTAACTGGGATTACAGGCATGAGCCATAGCACCTTCCACCTTAAAATCACTCAGCTCAGCACAACCCCCCCCAATATTATAGTAAACAGAATTTACATTTTTTTTGCCCCCTACAGCCTAATAAAATTCCTGGAAATATGAAACTAAGTAGAGGTGAGGGAGAAATGGACCCTATTAAGATGTATGTACCACAAACTTAAAAATTATATTTATAATGAAAACATATCTTTATGAACAATAAGAACTAGATAGGAAGAATATCTTGTTGAAGTTATCTTTGTCCTACAAAGTAAAAATAATAGTCTTTCTCTCTCTCCCTCTCTCCCCTCTTTCTCTCTCTCTCTCTCTAGCTCTCTCTCCCTTCCTCCCTCCCTCCCCCCTCTCTCTCTTCCTCTCTCTGACAAGACTAGGTCTTGAACTCAGTGCCTCGGATGCTTGTTTATCTTCCTTGGTCAGCCTGCTTGCTCATGGCCAGCATTCTTCCATTTGAGTTACAACTCTAGCCTTTCTTTTTGCTAGTTAATTAATTGATAGAGTTTGTAGGTTTTTTTTTTTAACCCAGGTTGGCTTCAAACTAAAATCCTCTTGATCTTAGCCTCCTGAATAGCCATGGTTACCGACTTGAGTCACTGGTATGCAGCTTAGATGTTCCATTTTCAATCTGCATTTTTTTCTTTTTATTATCCTGTTAAAATATAAATCTATATTCTTGTCTCCCTAATACCTACATATAGTTCAGTTTCACCATTAATCCAAAAATGGGCATATCTTTTGCCCTCTTAAAGCATAAGGCTTCAGTAACACATTTCCTACAATACAAGTTCACTGTCCTACCCCTCCCAGCCAGACCATTGTCAATCAACTTACAACATTACACTTTTAAAATATTCCATCTAACTCTCAAGAAAAGTAGAAGTAAAACTTCAAACACAAAATCCCTGACTATATGGCGACTTATACACTGCTATTGTCCACATGGGAAGATCTGCTCTGCTAAAATAGCCATAACACACAATAGAAACTCTTAGCTATAGGAAAATCGTGTCTGAGAGAATTCTTGACAACAAATTGAATTTCTCTGTGTTCATTCATTCATTTTTCCTACTTGTGGCTCTGGGTTGACAACTGTGTTTTCTGCTTTCCAAGATCCTGCTAAATTTGGTAAGGCAAGTGCTTGTTCAGCTGTCATTCACTGCACACAGTAGCACCAGCCCAGTTATTCAGCACAGAGGCTGACTTGCAAGTACTTCACAGAATTTTAAAAATATTTATGCTCTTGGAATTTTAATGTACTGATGACAATAAACAAGGCTCATTGTATTAAGGTAAACCTGATTAGAAACAGTTGTTGCTAAGTGGATTTCCAGTATTTCTTAAATTACTAAATGCTGAGAGACTCTTTATAAATAAAAGCCAGAAATAGAGCTTTGGGTCAAGAGGTAGAGGGCTAGTCATGAGTATAAATGCTGAGCAAGAACATGAGATTACAGTTCCTTTACTGATGGATGGAAAAAGTCCCTTTACTGATAGAGTTCCAAGTTCCCTTTATTGATGGAAATGTTCTGAGTCCCTTTACTGATGGAAAAAAAGATACATACAGAAACATTTCAAAGCTGTTATAAAACATTTCCAAATCAAATTATTGCAAATTAGCAAAATGGCCCAACTGTGTTACTCATAAAATATGACCATTAAGGAAACCAACCAACTTAAATATTTCTCTATTAATAGCTAATGTTGATGGTTTAATTTCACAGAGTAATTTGACTGAACTAAAGGATACCCACATGAACTGTACAGGAGTATTTCTTGATGTACCCACAGGGTTATTACTAGAAAAGACTAGTATTTGAATCACTATAAGAGTAAATTATTTATGCACTCAATGTATACAAAGCATCACCCAGTTCTGTGATGAACAATGTAAAGGCCTATTATCAGGCTCTGAACAGAGAGCAAATCAAATATGCAATAGGATAGGGTAGACATTTTGATGTATGAAGTTTGAGCGATACAAATGGCAATACTATTATGAGTGCCTTGAATAGTAAGATTGTGTAATGAAGAAATACACAAAATAGACTAAATTAACTTAGAAATACAAACTGGGGCATGAAACCAGGAATAAAATTTGGTGAGTAGTCTGGTAAGTGGAATCAGAAAAGGTAGAGGCAGTAACTAGTGGTTGTGTAATGAGTGCAAAGGTAATTCGAAGAGAAGAGTTGTGGGGAGAGGAGGTGAAACAAGAGGTGGAAAGGGTGTTAAAGAAATAGTCTGGGGAGATGGAAGAGGAGAGATTGGAGGAGTTGGAGGTAAATTTAGAAATGCTTGGGGGTCAGATTAACTCATCCAGGGGTCTGGACAGAAGTAAATGAGAAACTTCCCAGTTTCAAAGATGCTTTGAATTGGTTCCACTGGTTTGCTTTCACATTTGACTGGTGCAGGTGTGTTCTGGTGTCTTAGATCTTAGCAAAGAATGACACTGTAAAGCTGGTGTTCAGGACTGCAGCCGGTTAGACTGAACGATGAAGGTAGCGATTTATGGGTTTCTAGATCTAGGAGTATTGGAGAAGCCACAATGATAACTGGGTCAAGCAAATGTACTAGGTGCTGAGCGGAAGAGGGCCCATCAAGATTTTGAAAAAAGATGGATAAAAATTGGACCAAGGGCTGGGAAGGTTTGGCTCAGTAGTAGAGCGCTTGCCTTGCATGCATGAGGCTCTGGGTTCAGTTCCTCAGCACCACATAATCAGGGGGGAAAAAGCCAGAAGTGGCGCTGTGGCTCAAGTGGTAGAGCGCTAGCCTTGAGCTGAAGAGCTGAGGGACAGTGCCCAGGCCCAGAGTTCAGGCCCCACGACCGGACCCCCTCCAAAAAAAAATTGGAATAAAAAAATTACTAAGCCATGACACAGAACAGAAGGTAATTTGTATGAGTCCAATGATCCAGAAATTTAACTTACGATTAGAGAATGAATGCCTTATACATAATATATACTTAACATCATTTGATTAAGACCATTTGTCTTCAAATAATATATACTTAAGACCATTTGTCTTCAAATCGCTGTTCGCATTGAGAACGTATGCCCAAACAAGTAAACCAGTCTAATCTTCCTTGGGATTTATTTTGCGATCTGAAAGTTGGGAATACAATGTGAGGGAGAAAGAGATTTAGCATTACTAACTGTGTCTTCTAAGTCCTCAGAAGGGCAGGTGTGATTGCTTAAGGACGAAAGTCCTCCTGGTATGGGGCACGTTGCCCCTGATGTGTGCTGGGGCAAAATGCTGGGTGGAATGCTGGCTGGAAGGTCTTGCTGCATTCCCACAGCCTGCAGGGTATCATGCTACTCTCAGGATGGGGCATCCTGAGCTCTCTGAAGTATAGGTGCTTTACCCAAGACTGAATAGCAGAGTTGCTATTCAATCCAAACCGTTGGCCTCATTGGTCTCTTTCTACAGCCATTGTTTTTGTTTGTTTGTTTGGTTGGTTGTTTTGTTTTGTTTAGTTTTTTTTTTCATTTCCTACCTACAGAAATGAGCCTATGCCTCCACAGGGTCAGCATGGTCCATATCACTGGCTCTCACTCTGACCTGATGGTCCACAGGAAGGTCTGGAGGGCAGTA